AATTTCAAATAACGTCAGGTTTCTGTTTCTTCAAATCTTTATTCTGTTCTTGCCTGTAGGAGCACATGCAGGAAGCTGGAAGTGTCAGAGAATTAATCACTCCCAGGACAGCCCTCAACCAATGATTACCTGGAGCTGGTGGGTAAATGCCCAGCAACTTCATCCCTCAGTTGGGAAAACTCTGAAGTGTGTGTTCCATAGTCGCCCCACATTTGTCAGAGGGACTCCGCTCCATTTGCCTTTATTTGTAACTAGTTTGTGAATGCATCATTTATTGGCTTCCTTCCCTTCCCTTTTTTGTCTGCTCCCCAACCAGTGCTTCTTGGGTCACCTTCCGAATAAATTACTTGCATTTGAATCCTTGTCTCAAGGTATCCTTCTGAAGGAATCCCAAATTTGATAGCATTCCACACAGAAAGAACAGCACATGCAAGAGCATGGGAATATAAGCGTGGAAATCTCACAATATATTTAAGGGATCGCTCAAATTATTTGAGAACCTGCTGCTTGGTCTCTTTTGGCCTAATGGGTGAAGAATTATCTGGGGCTTAGAAACAATTGGGTACTATTCTATAATGACCCTCGTTTTATTTTGAGAATTCTTGGAGTTCAGAAGACAGCAGGGGCTTGTTAATTTTCCCTAAAGCCCTCAGATCTACTTAGTGCCTGGCAGGGAGTGATCACTCTCTAAGTATTTTTGAATTAATGAACTTTATAATTGTATTGAAATTAGTATATTAAAAGTATCCAGGCCTTATAATGTATGTTCAATAAATGCTAAACAGAACTGAAGGATACTGTGAAAAGCTAAAAAAAAAAAAAAAGAAAAAAAAAAGCCTTTATTTGAACAGGCATTCTGCCACCTGGTGGTGATTTTGTGGAGGAGGACTTTGCAGGCTGTGGTTTTGTACTCTTGATTTTGGGCGGACTTCGGTTTTAGTTAAAGTTCAAGGCTGTAAGCTGAGTTATTTATAACAGCAAAATAATAGAGACAGCTAGAGTGTCCACGAACAGGGGAATACTGGATTAAATGATTCAATGGTCTTTCCATAGAACACCACGTAGTGATTAAAATGGATTAAGTTGATCTACATCCATTGATGCAGAAATTTCTCCAAGATCTGTCGTTCAACTGATAAACCAAAGTCACAAAAAATACTTATAGTATGTCTTCGTGCACCCCATATCTTTAGTTGTTTGAGAGGCAGACTCAGCAACATATTGGGTGGGGTGACCAGATGATTTTTAAGTCCTTTCTGGTTCTGAGATTCTGTAACACTAAGAAATCAAAGTTTATAGTTCTTTTAAAAAATATACTGCTTTGAACCAAGAAAACTGTAAAACTTTATGGAGAGACATAAAAGAAGATCTGGATAAATGGAGACACATGTCAGTTTCCTGGATTGATAGATTTAACACTGCAGAGATAGAAAATTCCTCAGAATTAATCTGTTTAAAAACAATGGGAACAAAAAAACAAAACCTCAATGTATTTTTTGTGGGGGAGAATTAAAAAATAGTTATAAAGTTCATCATGAAGGTCAAATGTGCATGAAGAGCCAGAAAATATTTGAAAATAAAATCTATATTGTAAAACTAGGGTAATTTGAATCACATACTAGGGCCAGAACAGATGAAGGAACAAAAGGGAAAGTCCAGAAACAGATGTGAGTATTTATGAGAATTTAGTATATAACAAAGTGACACTTTGAGTCAGTCAGCAAAGGAGGTGTTATTCAATAAATTGTTGGGACAGCAGTTACCTTTGTGGTCCTTCCCATGGGAAGAGCATATGCACGTGTCTCTAATAAAAGTTCCACTGGCCTAATCATTGAGAAAATATTTTAGGTTATGTTTTCTCACCTTACAATAAAATAAATTCATGGTAGATTAAAGATTTAAGAAAGAACAATTTTTAGATACTAAATTGGTAAATACTGTACAAAATCTTGGGATTGAGACAAAATGTAAAAATCTTCTCAAAGGCAGAAACCACAATGAAAACTTGTATAGACTTATATACATGTATAGATGAATTAGCAAAGTTGAAAGACAAACATCAAGCTACATAAATGATAGGCAATTATTAAATATGTAAAAATTTTATAAGTCAATATAATAAAAATTAATATTTTATAAAAAATGGTTTAAGGGCATGAACAGGCAATTTGCTAAGGAAGAAATTCAAACAACATATAAGCATGAAAAAGTATTTACATCTTTAGGAATCAAAGCAATGCACATAAATGACAGTAAGAAACATTTCATCCCATCAAAGTTTTAAATATTTATAGTAATTTTAATTGTGCATTTCAAGAGAGTTACACATCAAAATGTTAATGGCGATTATCTGGGTAGTGGAGTTAAGGGTACTTTTCTCTTTTTTGTTTTGTTTTTCTGTGGTATTACTATTTTACTGTGTAAGAAAGAGATAATAGTTTGCATTGACTCTTAGGAAAGTGCTCAGCTGGAATCTCTGGGGGACTCATCTCTGAGGAATGAGCAAGGTCGTGTCCAAGCTGTGGCCCTCTCCTTGGGCTCAGCCTGGAGCTCACTGAGCCATACTGAATCACCTTGGCCCCCGACTTCAGGAACTGGGTCTGGGTGGCTGCCGTTTAGATAAGGGGAATGAGACAGAGGCAGGGAGATGAGCGAGCTAGTGCAATAGCAATCCAGATGGTGTTTTATAAAAATTGCACAATGGAACTTGGTGTGACCACTCTTTTCAAGAAAAAAAAAAATTTAAATGACATGTCTGCTCATGTGCTATGGGAAGATGGGCTGGGATGGCAGAAGAAGAGAGTAAAGGAAGTCAAACATGTGGATGAAGAAAATGCTGAGTGAACTTTTGTTGAAGTAGAGTATGCAAATGAAGATGCTGCCACCTTCTAAGTTAGGGTGTTTTCAGATTCAGAACCAGCCGTTGCCAGCATTTGGAGCCTTCATTCCCAGTACATTTTCCAGAAGAATGAAAAGTGACTTCAGTCAACATACCACTCATCCATTGCAGCCTGCCAAGGATGTGACCCTCATCGAATCCTGTGGCCATCTCACATGGCTCTCAGCCCGAACCTAGGTAAGCAGAGAGTTGTGTTGTCCATTGAGCTCCTGTCTACACCTGGTTCTAAAACAAACCATGCCTAATAATCCTTCAGTGTTAGTCTCTCCTTTAACTCGGTATTCAGCTTCTAGTACTTCCTCATGGAGGTGTGAATGAAAGTCTTTTTATATCAAAGCAGCTTCCACTTCTGGAGAAAAGAGTTACCTTAGGTTCAGTTCCTTAGAAAAGACTCCGAGGTGAGTCTTTGTGTGCAAGTTTGTTGTGTGTATGTATGGGGGGGCGGGGGCGGCACGGGTGGTCC